CATGCTTGATGGCAACCTAGAAATGATAAATAAATGCATTATTAAGCAGTGAAGTGATATAGTATACACTATTTATATTTATGTTATACACACACGTTATGAATATTCTAAACGTTCACACTCATGTACAAAAATCCTCCATTGGGGAACCTACCGGCGCGCCATCGGCGGTCCTTAAACCCGCATACACCGTTCCGAAACCGCCGCTTCCCAGCACAGAGCCGACCTGATACACCTTCTCGAACGCCTCTTTCTCCTTAACTGTCGATAAAAGATGTGATAGCTTCATTAGAATTGATAAAAGACGTAAACTTGTATCATAATGGAAATCTGAGGCACGCTATTCCCAACACTCAAGTCTGCTGAAGTAAACGAGCCCAAGACCACAACACACACACACAAACAAACACACGCGCGCGGGAATAACCGTCCTCTAACCTTGAAGCTGGATTTTCGCCGGCATGTCCACGGTGGAAATGTGAGCAAATGTGTTTAATTTTGATAGAAGCATTCTATAATCCGAAATGCGAATTCTTCTTGAGGTGTATTCCAATGTTGAGGTCAAAATCCGTCGTGTATAGATGGATGTCGGGAAGGTCTACTTGAGGGATCCGGTCTAGAAGCCTGTAGAAATCCCTTCTCATCTAGGCTCGATGGGTATTGATTCTCAAGTCGAACTTTAATCGACCGCGCAAGGTCTATTCCAGTTTAGAATATGAAATAAAATAAATAAATGATTAATATAGCTTGAAGATAAATATTATCGTCTGAGGTGCGCGATGAACACAAATACCCGGCTTTCTAAATCGTGAGGGAGGGGCAAGAGCCGTTATATACACCAGTAGTAAAAGGGAGGGGTGGCTGCTCGTACGTCAACGGTGGCCCCGCCCACAAACACGATTCAGCCAATGACTAATACGCCTGCCTCTGCAGAAAAAGGTCAATCAAACATGAAAATAAAGGAAAACGTAGACGTGGCGGGAATCAAAACGCGCCAAATAGTCGAGGCTTTTTTTGAGGGCGTTTAGCCGGCGTGGGGCAGACAGAATGATTCACATGGCTGTGTGTGTGTGTGTATATATATATATATATATATAAAACAAAAGTCGCAGTTGCAGATTCGGAGTATTATTTCAGAGAAGTATGAAGAGTATTACAAAAATAGATGCATGCTTTATATATATGCAATCTTGTAAAATGATTGAAAAGATGCATATTATACATGTACATATATATACATATATAATATAAAAATATATTTTTAAGCATAGATAGATTTTGAAATTGTAACAGTATAATAGTCAATGTGCAACTTTAAAGTTTTCCTTGTATATAGCATTTCACGTGATGAAAGAGGAAGAGACAGCATTCACTTACATATTTAAAAAAAAATCTGCAGTGTAATGCAACCCACATTTTCCTTGTCTGTACATACAAATGCATCATCATCCCAAAGGACAGCTCTTTTGTCATCTATCATGTGAAGTAGGTTTACAAAGTGTACATGAAGACCGCATCTCAAATTAGCTTGCAAAGTTTTTTCTCCTCCTATTGGTGGGCAACAGGCTTTATTCAAAAGGAGAACAATGCCGGTCGCTATGGAAATGAGGCGCATACCAGGCATTCTTTCAAATTGGGTGGCCGGTTTTAAATTCGGCAGCAGGATGTGGGAAACTTGAGATAAAAGACTTGCAGACCCATCCCCATTGTCTCTTGTCCACTCTTTCCCGCGCAGATTATTGTTTGAATGGCACTTGCTCTCCCTGTCTTCTGTATTTCCCCCGCCCTTTGGATATATGCCTAAACATCAACATAAAAACTGATGTAAACCCATATTAGGGGGCTTTCACACCTGGAAACTTCATCTTTACTTATTGTATAGTTAAGTAGTAAAGACCATGTACAGTGCCCTCAAAGACCCATTTGAGACATATAGTAATCTGATCACTCAGACTCCCTCAGGAGGTGGTTTGAAACGCATACAAAGACGCAACTCATCCAAGTGTAAATGCATCTGCTGTTCAGGCCGCATATGTAAACTTTACTCCTACCAAACAAAAAACAGCATACAGAAGTTTGGGACACGTGGATGAGAGACATGGATGGAGCAACTAAAACAACTCAAAACATTAATTGACATATGGGCTGAAGAGGGTGTTTAACAGAGAATTTTGCTGCCTGTCATTAGCATCATCACGGAAGTTAACGGTGTTATATTTGCAAAAAAGCGTGGGAAGGTTGTATGTATATGCATTCTGCGGAGACGCATTTACATGGCCAAGCGTAAATAGAATGTGCATATCCAATTAGATAGCAATTGATCAAAACACATGAAGTGACCAAGTATTCATCTTATTTTTAACATATAACATGCACGGCCGTTTCTAAATTGAATGTTCAAGGCTTCCAGTGTCATTCACTTCCAGTTATTTTTTTTTAGCTGTTCAAAAAAGCTCATTATGCTGCTTGATATTGCCATCTGTTATATCTCATCATATTATTTTAATATGGTCATAATTAGAAACACACTGGTTTGTCTTGCAAACGGTTTTACTACTACACTTTGTTATTTTTCTAGTTGTTTACCTAGTACAGGGGTAGGCAAGTTCGGTCCTAGAGAGCCGTAGTCCTGCAGAGTTCAGCTCCAACTCTAATCAAACACACCTGAACAAGCTAATCAATGTCTTCAGGATTACTAAGGCTATAGGGAGGTGAGTTTTTTTTCAGGGTTGGAGCTGAACTCTGCAGGACTGCGGCTCTCTAGGACCGAACTTGCCTACCCCTGACCTAGTATAGCAGCGCTGTTCAAAAAAGCTCATTATGCTGCTTGATATTGCCAACTGTTATTTCTCATCATATTATTTTAATATTGTCATAATTAGAAACACACTGGTTTGTCTTGCAAACGGTTTTACTACTACACTTTGTTATTTTTCTAGTGGTTTACCTAGTACAGGGGTAGGCAAGTTCGGTCCTAGAGAGCCGTAGTCCTGCAGAGTTCAGCTCCAACTCTAATCAAACACACCTGAACAAGCTAATCAATGTCTTCAGGATTACTTAGGCTATAGGGAGGTGAGTTTTTTTTCAGGGTTGGAGCTGAACTCTGCAGGACTGCGGCTCTCTAGGACCGAACTTGCCTACCCCTGACCTAGTATAGCAGCTAATGAATTAGAAGTCTTGCACATTCAATAAAAATTGCTTACTTCTGTATTTAAATATAAGGTGGATATTGGCTCCAAATATATTTTAACACTTAGGGGCCATTTACACAACAACGTTTTCAGCCAAAAACTGGAAACTTGGAAAATGCATTTTGCCTGTTCATTTACACGACAACGGCATTTTGGGGACTGAAAATGCATATTTTTGAAAATGGTTTTAAAAACGCCACCGTTATCGTTTCCGTGTAAACACCCAATATGGGTATCTTTGAAAACGGTGACGCCATGCGTGTGCGTAGTATGTGTTAGGTATGTAGACATGAGCAGTACGTGTCGATTTTAAAGGCAAGTGCGAGCAAACACACACAACAATGGCGGAGTACATGGTACTGTTGTTGGTGCTCAAGAGTTTGCTAACGCTTCTTCAGCAAAGTGTGGATTTACTTCACCAATATTACAACCAACAGCGGAGATGCATCATATACAACATATAATCATCACTTCCCTTCAGGTACTGTTTACTAACAAGGTGACAGTGCCAGCTACTGGCCTGGCATACATAATACAGCGTTTTTGGGCATTTTCGCGGATATGTGTAATGCGAATCGTTTTGAAAACGTTGCCGTGTATACATGAAACTTTTTAAAAACGTAAGGGAAAAACTTTTCCGTTTTTAACTACATTGTTGTCGTGTAAACGTAGCCTTAATTCCCACTTAAAAATGCTAGTAAGAATGTCATTGTATTTAATTACTATCACACCATTTCTACTATATATGTATATTTAAATTAATTTTTTTATATATATATAAAAACTAGTTTGTAATTTAATGCAATGACATTCATACATTTTAAAGCATGACTTCAGTCTACAAATAAGAATTATTATTGTTAAATGAAAAACTTAAACAAAACGAAAATTAGAAGTGTTGCCTTTGCTACTAAATGAAATAAGTTAAAGCACTAAAATTACTAACTGAAAATAAATAAAACTAAAATCTAAAACTGAAATAAAAAATAAATAACTAAATAAGAACATAAATAAATAGTAAACAAAAACATAAAAAAATTAAAATATACAGGTGCATCTCAATAAATTAGAATGTCGTGGAAAAGTTCATTTATTTCAGTAATTCAACTCAAATTGTGAAACTCGTGTATTAAATTCAATGCACACAGATTGAAGTAGTTTAAGTCTTTGGTTCTTTTAATTGTGATGATTTTGGCTCACATTTAACAAAAACCCAACAATTCACTATCTCAACAAATTAGAATACTTCATAAGACCAATAAAAAAAGTATGGAAAGTATGTTCATTTACTGTACATGTACTCAATACTTGGAGGGGGCTCCTTTTGCACTTCAGTCTGTGTGCATTGAATTTATTTAATACGAGTTTCGCAATTTGAGTTGAATTACTGAAATAAATGAACTTTTCCACGACATTCTAATTTATTGAGATGCACTTGTATATAACCTAAAATTAAAATGAAAACTGACAATATTTTTCAAAATATTAATAAAAACTATAATAGTATATAAATAATACCAAAATAACACTGCTCCAAATACTTTTTGGCATGTTATAATAGTGTCATTATAATTAAACCATTCCCTAAAATTACTTTGTATTTAGTTTTAAAACAGCTCAGTTCCCTAAAACTTCAGTCACATTTTTTCCCTTCCGTTACCATTGTGACAAGTTTGCGCTTCTCAAAAAAGCCAGCGAGTCATAAATTTGCAGATTAATGTGTGTGATTCATAAATTGGCTTTTGTGCCTGTGTGGTGTTTCTTTTTTTTTTTACTCAGAATGCTGTTTTTGTTCAGTTCAATCACAATGCTGGCGCTCCGTTTTGATGACTCAGAGATCTGAACTCTCTTCGAGATTAAGATATGCACGACTCCCCTGGAGAGCAGAAATAAAAAATACTCAGAGATGCCTCGCTTTAGAAAGAAAACCATAAAAATAAAGTCAAATGCATGAATAAATAGAACTTCAAGGAATGACGGATAACCAAACGGTGTTTGATTACTGTCATTCAGGCAGCAAATTAAAGTGCTTTATGCATGTCAGAATAGTGCCTTTTTCTTCACATCCACATTAAGTCTTGTACATCATCTTCTTATACAATGCACCGCTAGCCCCCAGTGGGACTCACTCAGGCTGATGTAATAGAGCTGGTTTAACGGCTGCGGCCTGCTATAATGAGTCACCTTCTCTGTGCACTTCAGCACTGATTATGGGCCGTGCTTCGGTAAGAACGAGAGGCGCTCTGAAATGGAGACGCAGTGGGGGTCTATGTAATATAAAGCTGTATGAAGGTATGACAGCACTGACGTCTATGGCTGCCTGCTCAGCAGAGGAGAGAGTGACAGCTGCCCGGTGCCCCGGCTCATCTGACACGAACAGTGCTTGCGCTTTTCTTAGCCCATGATGATAAAGACGACTCAAGTGCTAGTTTGAAACTTCAGACTCCATTCCTCCAGTGTGCAAACCCCTCATTCCATATCTGATATCCTGATTGGAGGGAGGGGAATCATGGGAAAAACCATGAGTGGACTTCAAAGCCATGTGGGAAAGGCTACTGAAGAGCAGGAGTTTACACGGGGTCAACTTTCATGTTGGTAAAAACACGAGTTCAGAGGTCACTGACATACCTGTTCAGCATTCCCTCCTTCAGGAAATTACCCTCACTTGTCTCAATTTGGGGGGAAAAGCAGAGCTTGCAGAGCTTGGCTTATGGAGAGCTCACAGCACGTCTCTGTCAGGGCATGAGCACCTGAGATGTAAGTAAACGAGATGCTTTTGCTCCTGAAATGTTTGTTCGGATTGTTTGGTCATGGTTTGATCCTGTATGCAAATAACGCCAGCCAAAAGCAGATAACAGATATGACTCATTTCATATCAACATTAAAAGGCTGAATCATAGAAGGCTTTAAATATGCAGCTAAAATTGAAAGCACAGCTGTCAGTCTTCTCCATAGAAAAAAAAAAGACATAAATCACATTATAATTGTTTCTTCTAGAGACCAATGGGATTAAATGGAGAATTTTGATCAAGTTTCCTGCTCCTCTGATTTTTTATTTATTTATTTTTAATGGAGAACTATGATTTGCCAAAACATTAGAATCAAATATTTTTCATTAAAATTTCTCAACTCTAAATGATCTAAGCTATTTTAATTAATTTATTAAATCTTTTTTATATATATATAAAATTTACACTACTTTTAGAACATTTGGGTTCAGTAAGATTTTTTTATACATTTATTGAGCAAGCATGCATTAAATTGACACACTTTTACATTGTTACAAAAATTCTATTTCAAATAAATGATCAGAATCAGAATCAGAATGAGCTTTATTGCCAGGTATGTTTACACATACGAGGAATTCGTTTTCGTGACAAAAGCTTCCACAGTGTAAAAAACACAGATAATAAAAAATAAAAATAGAACAAGTAAATAAGGAATAAAAATATATAAATCGACAATTGTATGTGCAGGTATATTACAATAATTATGTTTATAATTATATTACAATTATGTTTAACTTCACCAAAGAATCCCTGAAAAAAAAGTATCAAAGTTTCCACAAAACGCACAACTGTTTGCAACATCAATAGAGTAATGTTTCTTGAGCAGCAAATCAGCATATTGGAATGATGTCTGAAGGATCATGTGACACTGAAGACTGGAGTAATGATGCTGAAAATACAGCTTTGCATCACAGGAATAAATTACATTTTAATATATAGTAACATACATTTTTAAAATTTTTAAAATCTTAGTGACCCCAATCTTTTGAACGGTAGTTTATAACTCTTATTGTATGTCAACTAACATTTTGTCTATTTTCAGGGAATTTTCAGAGAAGCCTCTGAGAAATAATGACTTTTCCCCCTTTTTGCCATCTGTCAGTCAAAGAACTAGCCCCGCCCCAAACTTCAAACCATTGGTTGAGTCAATGTTGCAGTGTCTGCTGGTCTAAAACAAACAGATTAACATTTTGATAGCACCACAGAGACACAGTGTTTACACTTTTTGGGGAAGTCACCCTGCGAATGGTTTCCCTGATTATAAAGTGACAGTATTTTGACCAGGGGCATAGCCATCATTTCAGAAGTGAGGGGGACAGAAATGTTATATATATATAAAAAGAAAAAAGAAAAAAAAGAAAACAATATAACAATATAAACATTATAACATTTCTGTAATCTATATAACCTACCAGTCAACCGTTTTTGAACATTTTTTATGTTTTATAAAGAAGTCTCTTCTGCTCACCAAGCCTGCATTTATTTGATCCAAAGTACAGCAAAAGCAGTAATGTTGTGAAATATTTTTACTATTTAAAATAACTGCTTTCTATTTGAATATATTTTGAAATGATTGCTGTGATCAAAGCTGAATTTTCAGCATCATTACTCCAGTCTTCAGTGTCACATGATCCTTCAGAAATCATTCTAATATGCTGATTTGCTGCTCAATAAACATTTTTTTTAATTATTATTATTAATGTTTTTTGAGCAGCAAATCAGAATATCAGAATGCTTTCTGAAGGATAGTGTGACTGGAGTAATGATGCAAAAAATTTAGCTTTGAAATCACTATAAATTACATTTTTAAATATATTCAAATAGAAACCAGTTATTTGAAATAGCCTAGTAAAAATATTTCAAAATCAGCAAATCAGCATATTGGAATGATGTCTGAAGGATCATGTGACACCGAAGACTGGAGTAATATTGCTGAAAATTCAGCTTTGCATCACATGAATAAATTACATTTTAATATATAGTAACATACATTTTTTTAATTTTAAAAATCTTAGTGACCCCAATCTTTTGAACGGTAGTTTATCACTCTTATTGTATGTCAACTAACATTTTGTCTATTTTCAGGGAATTTTCAGAGAAGCCTCTGAGAAATAATGACTTTTCCCCCATTCTGCCATCTGTCAGTCAAAGAGCTAGCCCCGCCCCAAACTTAAACTTAAATTATTATTATTATTAATGTTTTTTGAGCAGCAAATCAGAATATCAGAATGCTTTCTGAAGGATAGTGTGACTGGAGTAATGATGCAAACAATTTTGCTTTGAAATCACTATAAATTACATTTTTAAATATATTCAAATAGAAACCAGTTATTTGAAATAGCCTAGTAAAAATATTTCAAAATGATACTGTTTTGCTGTACTTTGGATCAAATAAATGCAGGCTTGGTGAACAGAAGAGACTTCTTTATAAAACATTAAAAATCTTACTGTTCAAAAACTTTTGACTGGTAAGTGTACAGTGGGGAAAATAATTATTTGATCCCCTGCTGATTCTGTAAGTTTGACCACTTACAAAAAAAATAAGGGTCTATAATTTTTATGGTAGGTTTATTTTAACGGATAGAGACAGAATATCAACAAAAAAATCCAGAAAAAACACGTTATATAAAGGTTATAAATTGACTTGCATTTCAGTAAGTAAAATGAGTATTTGATCCCCTACCAACCAGCAAGAATTCTGGCTCCCACAGATTGGTTACGTGCCCAAGTGGAACACAGATTAGTCCTCTCACTTTAAGAAATTACTCCTAATGTCATCTTGTTATAAGTATAAAAGAAACCAGTCCATAGAATGTGTATCTTCAAACCTCTCCCACCACCATGGGCAAGACAAAATCCCTCCTGAGATGTGTGCAAACCTGGTGACCAACTACAAGACACGTCTTACCTCTGTGCTTGCCAACAAGAGTTTCTCCACCAAGTTTTGCTTGGGGATCAAATACTTATTTGACTCACTGAAATGCAAATCAATTTATAACCTTTGAACAGTGTTTTTTTTCATAATAAAAAATAAAAATAGAACAAGTAAATAAGGAATAAAAATATATAAATCGACAATTGTATGTGCAGGTATATTACAATAATTATGTTTATAATTATATTACAATTATGTTTAACTTCACCAAAGAATCCCTGAAAAAAAAGTATCAAAGTTTCCACAAAACGCACAACTGTTTGCAACATCAATAGAGTAATGTTTCTTGAGCAGCAAATCAGCATATTGGAATGATGTCTGAAGGATCATGTGACACCGAAGACTGGAGTAATATTGCTGAAAATTCAGCTTTGCATCACATGAATAAATTACATTTTAATATATAGTAACATACATTTTTTTAATTTTAAAAATCTTAGTGACCCCAATCTTTTGAACGGTAGTTTATCACTCTTATTGTATGTCAACTAACATTTTGTCTATTTTCAGGGAATTTTCAGAGAAGCCTCTGAGAAATAATGACTTTTCCCCCATTCTGCCATCTGTCAGTCAAAGAGCTAGCCCCGCCCCAAACTTAAACTTAAATTATTATTATTATTAATGTTTTTTGAGCAGCAAATCAGAATATCAGAATGCTTTCTGAAGGATAGTGTGACTGGAGTAATGATGCAAACAATTTTGCTTTGAAATCACTATAAATTACATTTTTTAATATATTCAAATAGAAACCAGTTATTTGAAATAGCCTAGTAAAAATATTTCAAAATGTTACTGTTTTGCTGTACTTTGGATCAAATAAATGCAGGCTTGGAGAACAGAAGAGACTTCTTTATAAAACATTAAAAATCTTACTGTTCAAAATCTTTTGACTGGTAAGTGTACAGTGGGGAAAATAATTATTTGAAATAGCCTAGTAAAAATATTTCAAAATGTTACTGTTTTGCTGTACTTTGGATCAAATAAATGCAGGCTTGGAGAACAGAAGAGACTTCTTTATAAAACATTAAAAATCTTACTGTTCAAAATCTTTTGACTGGTAAGTGTACAGTGGGGAAAATAATTATTTGATCCCCTGCTGATTCTGTAAGTTTGACCACTTACAAAAAAAATAAGGGTCTATAATTTT